ACTCAGTGACAATCTCGTGTAAGTGTGAAAATGTCAAATTCTTTTAAGCGACGGAAGAACAAAATGCCATACTTACAAAAACACGGCTGCACGCGGACACACGGACGACAATGTAATGAATGCAAACACATGTTCGCACGCACGCTCCGATTTTCAGAATAAAAAAGATTCCGTCCCAACATGCCCCGCGTAAAAAATGGGGCTTCGTTTTGTTAGCGATTGTCAATATAACTGGTCGGCTATTATTTTTATGCAGGCGATTGTCTGTGACAAGTCATAAAACGTGCATACCAACGTCGTGGCTACGGCAGTAAAGACTGTTGCTATGATCGATTCATATTATATGTTATTATTACAAGGCGCAGGGTTAAGTAAAGGCGACCGGCTCAATGAAACAGCCTTGAATGGCGACAAGGAGCGACCCAATGATATACGCACTTTTAAATTACCCTAAAACGTCATTTTAAACGAGTTTTACAACGACGCGTACGCCTGAACGCAGTTTTTCGACTTTTCCATCTAAAATTAACTTGAAGTTAAACGAAAAGTTGCAAAACCGGTGACAAATTTACGATGTTGATTTTATTTCGTGTCATGGAAGCGGTCTGTCGAACAATGCCGTGATACTCTGAGCAAAACGGAAAGACAGACAGACATGCAACTGAACACACATTCATGATTATGCGAAAATTAGGTCGTGATGGGTCAATGGCTCGCGCTGTTTTCTAAACTTTAACGATAACGTTTGTGTTCTTTGGAAATAATAGTACATCGAACTGTGACGATAAATGTCCGCAATAGGCAGAGACATGAAGTCACGTGACCAAGATAACCACTTCTCATTCCGAATAATCTCTTGAAACTAGGAGTTTGTATTCTTGATTAACTACGTCATCTTGGACTAGACTATTATGTAATAGGGATGTTTTTGATCACAGCGTGTATGAAATCGCGTGTGTATGCTCGCAATGGCAGGCGGTAGAACAAACCACAGACGAGAGAAAAAAAACAAGAAAATGTTCACTTTATATATCATAACAGGTGGCAACACGAACAATAACCGTTAGAGTTTACATAAGCTAGATTGGACACGAAACCTGGTAATCGGTTGACCCCTGACCCCTGCTGGCAATACATAATAATAATAATGTTATTCACTTTCTAAAGTTGTAAATCATGTCACGTGCAGATATCGTGTACCCACAATGCTATTCGGAGGATATACAAATCAGTGCCTGTTATTCCACACAACATGCCTAATTTACCCATAATGCTTTTCGGAGCTTGTTCAGATCAGTGAACGTCTTCGCAAATCAATGCCCGCAATAGGGAATTTCCGCTCAATGCGAGATCTCGCGTAATGCGTGAAAGACGGGGATAGAACGTCCGTCACACAAATCGGATGATTTGATTTTGAACTTGAACTTCTCTCGGAAACGCCCATCTTTCAGAGAAGAATATTGCATTTCTTCAAAATTGACTATCATCAAATGTGTACAGCACATTATTAAGTGTGAAAATACCCCCGAAATAGTTTCGCACTTGTCGAATCTCACGGCGGTGTTTTGACGCCATTACGGCGCTACGACCTTTGTTTTTCCTGTTTTACGTTCGATATCACGCATAACGCGGGATCTCGCAGCGAACAGAAAATGGTTTATTCGACACAACCCGCCCGAGTTACCCATAATGCTATTCGGATAGTGTTCATATCAGAGAACGTTTATGACAACCAATGTCCGCTACTCGACACAATCTACCTATTCTACCCACAATGCACTCCTGCACTTTGGATTCTGATAGCGACTGACCAATCCGTTAATTTCGGCCAAAGTTATTTTCTAATTGTAATACCTCACTTCATCGGATGTCCCACCGCCTACAATTACGCGGCCACCCCTGGTGACTAAATGATTCAACCCGACATTTGAACTTCTTCTTATGTCTCACCGCCTATAACTACCGGCCACCCCTGGTGACTAAATGGTTCAACCCGACAGTATAGCAGATGTAATTGTTGAATGGACAGTATAATTTTACGAGATTGGGGTGTAACTCATAACTTAAAGTTGATTGTCGACTTCGATAACGGTAATAACTTTTTAGAACTGACTCAATGGGAACACGATTGGAGTCTATAAATATATTGATTTGCGTTCCACCGTGATGTTACCCAAGATGCGAATCAAAAACACGTTACTTCCGGTTTTCAATATGAAATGTGTCACTTCAACAGAGTTATTTAAAACAGAATCATTGGTCGATTTACTTCCATAAATGCAAAAGATAGGTCGAAACAAATTCGTTCAAAACGCCCGATACGTGTAAAACAAACTCAAAATGCAGAGACACGTAGTACTACTATCGTTCGGCACGGCACGTTAAATTGTGAAAGCGAGCCAGTGTCAAAATAGAGGTTAAAGGTCAACTGACCGTAGTGGAGTCTATACGCCGAGTATTCATCCGCCCAAGGCTTGTGATTGGTCAAGTTATTTGAAAGTTATAAACTCTTTTATGTGAGATTATAAATATGATGCAAATGAAAGTCAAACAAGCCATGTAATTGTGGGTAAGATTTTGCTAGTGAAACCCAAATCGGATTAGCAATTGTCAGTGTGGCTATTTCAAATTTAATTTCAATATCGCGAGCAGCCACTCCTTTCAACATTTTAAACTTTCAGCGCAAGAAAAGTATTCCCTTCATTTTTTAGTGAATTTCATGATTTCAATTGAAACGAGACGTTTTATTGGCCGACGAAATAGCATTGGGACGTTTTCATATGACGTTGTTGCGCATTGTGCTCGTTGATTGGCTGATATGATTCAACTGTCATAAATTCATAAATATTTATAAAGATGGAGGAAATGGGCTTGTTGCGCTGAAGAGTACCACATATTTGATCACTGTGTTAGAACTAGTTGCTTCTTTCAGACCTTCAAAGCAAGACAAGACGCGGACAAGACAGACCTGTACAGACACGTTTGTGTTTCCATGGTTACCAACCACTGAACCGTGTGATATATGATGATCATTGTACACTATGGGATTTGTCCCCAGGGACACGCTAGCTTATACGGTCTCATCAAATATAGCCTGAAAAAGAGGGTTATTCGTGTCAGGACGCGTCCGAGAGTCCACATCGCGTGCTCGTCGTAACTGCGTTAGAATACACACACACGTGCCGATCCGCAATCAAACGCTTTTAAATAGCACTGACTAGTTAGAGTGAAGATACCGAAGGACAGGGGTGAGGTGTACTTCTTTGGTGCACCCGGCAACAACCAAATGACGTAGTTTCCCAGATTAGTTTTTTTTACAGCCATTTCTGACTGTAAATCCACTGAGTAATGGGATCACCATGAAAAATGATAAAATCAGTTGCCTTGGCAACAAATCCCGCTTTGAAGTTAGTTAAGTCGTGGTGTCTAATCAGAAAATTTAAACATAATTTTCATTCAAAACTGTCAAGGCCAGTTTATTTTTATTTTAAAATGTATTTTTTTTCTAAATTCAATTTCAAGTTTCCTGTGGTTAAAGCGGGGGAGTCGTCACCTGCGCATGTGTCAGATGGCCATATCGTGTCATTGTTTACAAACAAGCGTCTAACCATGAGCCTTTGCGTTTTTAGTTTGTGTTGTTATCGTCGCGTGGGTCTCAATTCTCGCGCGTGCGCAGGTGACGACCCTCCCGTTTTAAGATTACAAAATCCAAAAACAAAGTGAGATTGTTTTTTTTTTTTTTACAGTTCTTACAAAGTGAAAATACAACTTTTAAAGGGACTTCAGGAGCGGAGTTGATTTCTATGTTTCTGTTTTTTCAGTTGAAAAGTTAAATTTACGAAGAGGGTTTGAGGGTTTCTTGTTACATGGCATTAAATTGTCCGCCATTTTGTCGTCCTTGTTCGTAGTTGGTTGGTACCAAACAACAACAAATAACCTTCTAAGTACCTATTTGCTAAAACACTAAATTTCGATTTGTAGTACCGTGAACTCTTTCAAATGTGCAGTCGCTTTGTACAAATTTTGAGTAAACAAGAGCCGTTGGCTGTGTGCGTCAAGCACGGAAATCGGACGAGCCTGCGGCGTTGACGTCATCAAGCATCATACGACGCGCACGCAATCGATTAAGTACTCACTAAATATCTCCCGGGGACATTTTAATTGGTGATTGAACTAATTATTTAAACGTCATTTTTTTCTGAGTAAGTCGTACATAGACACAACACGCATGAATACATTGTGAAAAAAGACTATTCAAATGTAATTTACGTCTCAAAGATAAGGAAAATGAAATAAAGACTAATTCGGAAGAAATGGATGTACAAAATGGAGTTAAGATAAATAGCATGTTTCATCTGTTTTTACCATTGTTTCCTATGGCTAGAATAGATATTAAAGCGGGGGA